TTTGTTCAGTTTTATTGTAATTTCGTTGAATTTGCAGTCGACACTCGAAAATCGGCGTATAGGTAATATTGTACTACAATATCGCCAGCCATTAAATCTAATAATGGTATCTTATCTTTATTTCTATCATTTCAAGTTGGTGTTTTGACTGTGATAATATGTTCCTCGATCACCCCGTGAATTCCGAGCGATCGTGTTCCGTTATTTTTTTTTGTAAATATGCCGAAAATTGAGCCAACAGTTTCCACTGTTGTGAAAAAATTGTTTTTTTTTTTAGCGCAATTTGTAATATTATCAGCGCGGTTTTCGATATTTTTTAGCGCAATACTGTATAATACATTTTACTAGTTTTTTACCGCTACAACATCCGTGCTCTATCCATAACGTACACGTATAATGTATATTAAATACGCAATATGCATATTGTATATTGTCGTATTTGTACACGGATATCAGACACGGCGTAAAAATACGGAACACGAAAGCTAAATAATATTTTCTTCTTTCTATGAAATTACGATTTTTTTTTTTCGCGTGCTACGTACAATTAAACGCGAAGACAGTGTGCGGCACTTATGATTAAATAACTAATTACAAACAAAACGATATGGTGGAAAGTTCGATTGGATGTATTCACATTGTCTTTTAATTATTACAGAGAGACAGAAACAATATGACCGTTTAAATAATTAATTAACAGCAAGATGTGTCTGTGTATAATAATATAATGTTAGGTTTAGTATTTTTTTTTTTTCCACATAATTACATATTGCACCGTGACGTATTTGCAGCCGTTTGCGTGACTTTTTTTATTTTTAAAATACTCATTGTTTATATTAAAATATCACGTATTATGTTTAAATTATTAACTGCAGACTTGGCGAAACAACAAAAAAAAAAAACAAAACAAAACAAAAAAATCGAGTGTTGTCCAGTTTCTGTATATTATAGAATAATTATATAATATAATAATATTGTGCCGGCGTAAATTATATGAACTTTTTTGTCGTGCCATAAAGATTATAATCAAATAATAATAAACGTGATAATAGTGCGCACCTATATTACATGGGTAGGTATAATGTAATACGTATTGCGTATTATACGAGCCGGAACATGTCGTGATGACGACGAGTTTTACCATGTTTAAAAACTAAAACGAAAAAAAAAAAAAAAAAAAAAAACAACTTTAATACAAGTAAAACGTACTTTTCGGTTAGAATATAATACAGTCCGTATGTTTGACGGTACGCAAAGTTCAATGCCTGTGTGCTAATGTGTGTACACACACACACACACACACACACTCATAGCACTACACGAATAGTACAAACGGCTTAACAGGTAATTTTTATGTAATCGTATGATGTAATATTTAACATTCGGATCGCGCCGTATTTTTCCCGCACCCTGTGGGCCGTGCCGCGTAAACGCTTTCCAAACGTTGAACGTCGGCTTATTGTTTCGCGTTCTAAAAGTAGTGAGCGGAACAAAATTACGCCGAACGCGAACGAGTAATTTTCGTTCGCGTGTACGCGCGGATAAATTTCAAGTTCAACGTCGGCGAGTTATTTGACGGCGCCGAAGAATTCTGAGACGGTGTCTCTATAGCGATTGAAACGACGACGGAAACCCACTCACTAGTTCCGCTGTGTGCGTAGCCACGCGGGTCAAAACGTATCCACTGAACGCGACACCGCGGTGAGACTTCGGGGGAACAGTCCGAGCTTACTGATTCCGTTAATCGTTTTCCTAGTTCGGTTTACACGCGAACAACAGCTGCCTGTGATGAACACCGGGCGGGTGCGTTATTTTGGGAAATTCGCAATTCTCGTCGCACCGACTAGACGACTTACCGGAAATCGTCGTCTCTGTGGTCGAGGACCGGAGCAATACGTCTGTTACAATAGTTAACGAACAGCAAAAAAAAAAAAAAAAATAAAATAAAAACGCGCGCCTAGTAGATTCTAAAATAAATATACACGCACGTAAAAACTTAGCCTGCAGTATTTATTTATTTTTTTTTTTCGTAAATCATTAATCACCGAATTATGTTTAAAAGCCGTTGTAAGGGCATGAAGTAACTTGATCATAAAATAAAAACCGCTACACATTACGTCTAATTTTTTTTTTTAACTACCAAGTAAAATATACGCATAACAAACGTCGTGTTAAATTGTCAACGATTTCTGTCCGGCCGAAACGGTCGTGTTCACGTATTATATTAGCTAACGAATAAAAACTAGAAAAAAAAAAAAAAAAACTAGAAAATTTCAAATGTCTATAAACAGCTCAAAAACTGTCAGAACGGTTTGCGGGCAGGATTAGAAAAAATCGCGCGTGAAGAAGACCGATATAAGTACTATGTGTCTAATTCATGCGTCTACGATTATTTAAACTTAATCACGTCGAAAAAACTAAATTGAAAATAATAAGAAAGTTACTATTAAAACCGTATTATAAATGGCCGACTCAATAGAAAGGATGCTCACGGATAGAAAAAAAAAATATATATATATATAAAATTAGCACACATTACAGTGAAACTAATGCATTCCTCTTTATACGCACAATTTAAAAACTTGACTATAACGTTAAAGTTTTGTCCACAGAGTACACTCGAACAATGATTTTCGACGGAATGCATACCAGATACCCGTATGAAAACATAGCGTATAAGATTCACTTGTAATCGATAATGACCGAACAACCTAATCTATAACTTTATTTTATCGTAATCCTATATGACGTGGTTAATCGTCTCATTGACCAGCAGTAACCAAAGAACATAAACATATAATCAATAATTAAGTGTGCAAAAAAAAAATAAAAAAAATGTGAAAACTGAGTGTTAAAACAGTCGGTAGGTCGATATTGATGGGTAATTTTTTTCATTAAATACAGAAATATTTTTGGTTTATTTAAAAAGATTAACATTATAACGGTTACAACTTGTAATGTTGAATTGTATACGACGGAAATATAAATTATATAAATATTAATGTATTCCGTTATTTAAAAGTTACGGCGAACTGATATATTTGATTTTTAGACATTTACGTAATCCTGAAAATCAAAATTAAATTTATCGCCATGCTGTTATAATGCAATACAGAAAATTCTACCCGAGCTCAGTGGTTTTTAATAAAAACAAACTTTAATTTATTATATTTATTTATTTTTCTACATATTATTTATTTGTTCGCATTAACTTTTAATCATGATTTGTGTTTTTTTGTGTTCTTAATTAAATTCCCGAGTATTAAAAATACAGAGAACGTGAAATATTTAAAAGTTTGTTTTGTATCCAATTTAATGAAAGTGTTTCGTGTTAAAAAAAAAAAAAAAAAAAACTTGGTTATTTTTGTTTTAGGTAATACAAAATCAAACGAAATTAATTTTCGTACAACCGTTGTTATTAAGTACCTACTTATACATTATGGTTCTATAACTTAAATATAACGTTATCAAATTAAATAATAATTTTCATCCGAGTTAACGCAGTTTAAATAACTTTTAAAACATTACAATATTGCCGCGTAGCCGGTGTTCCGTTACACGGCGCGTCGTATAGGCAATACGTGTACGCGGCCCGGTTGTTTTCGGTTCCCGTGCGTAACATCGAATACAATATTTTTCTAACGTTCTACCGTTTATAACACCGCGCCGGCATTAAAACTCGAGTTTTCGGCGAACGTGTGTTTTGTTGGTTCGTTTGATTGTTTGTTTTTTTTTCTAATGTTTGCCCCGTCCGACAGACCGCCAATAAGCGCAATATTAATACGTATGTGGGTCAGTTGTCAAGGAAAAAGGAGCAGCAGCTAACACACGCGCACACACACGCATACACACACACACACACACACACACACACACATACGCACATACGCACACATACGCGCGCGCGAGCATTGTACCGTAGAGCCGGACGACGCGGTCAGTGACGAGACAGTTGAAGAAGAAGAAGAAGAAGAAGAAGAAAATACAAGACTGCCAGGGGCGCGTGTCGCGCGGTGTAGCGCCGCAGCAGGAGCGCGTACGCCGTAAACGTCTCTCCGCGCAGCGAGACGTTTTAGCGGAAAACGCCGCGGCGCGCAGATTGTCGTTTGCATTATATAGCCTAGGCGTCGTCTAAAGTTTCGACCGGTCGTCAGGATCGGACGGGGCGGCGGGGAGGGCGCGTGTTTATGGATGGAAGGAGAGGGGGGCGAGGCGGCGGCGGCGTCGGGTGAGATCGACGGAGAAGAAATAACGGGTAATATGTATGTATGTATGTATGTATGTATGTATGTATGTACGTATGTACGTACGGACGTACGTATGTATGTGCGGGTGTGCGAGTATAAAACGGCGGTCCGGAGGGTGGAGGGGGACTGACGGTGTGATACGGTGGGGGGGGGCACGCGGCGGAGCGGAGCGGACGGCGACGGGAGAATGCGGTAAACGCGCGGACGGAGAATAAAACACAACACCGGCGCTATATATACACAGTCTATATACGTATATACGTATATACTTGTATATATATATATATATAATATTATGTAGTCGGTATGCGTGCGTGTGTATTTGTGTGCGAGTGGTGCGCAGGGGCACCAGTCTATCGCCGCGGGGGGGCCGCGGCGCAGGGAGAGATTGCGAAAAAGAGAGGAAGAACTGTGCCGCCCGCGTTTGCTACATCGATTTGTTTTGTGCGTGCCCAGCAACGTTTTCTCTCGCGTCGTGTGCTTCGGCTTCGGTTTCCGCGCGCGGGGCGTTGGGTGTGGCCTTAGCCTCCGCCGCCGCCGCCGCTGCCGCCGCCGTTGCCACTGCGAGGTGGTGTGTACAGTACGAGTCGCGGCGACACACAAAAGCGTAAAATACCATTAAAATACGCTCGCGCGCGTACACACACACACGCACACACACACACGAGCTCGCGTACGGCGACGCGAACGAAAATGGAATATAAAGAACGAGAGTATAAAACGTGTATAATATAACAGCGCGACGGAAAAGTGTGCGTGGGTGTGTGTGTGTGTGTGTGTGTGTGAGTGAGGGGAGAGCGGCGATTTTAGGAGAGGGAAAAAAATTGCGCTCGATCGATAAGTGGCCCCGCGGGTTCCGGTTACAGGGATATTACGTCGTACACACACACACACACACACACACACACACACAAACACACATTCACACACATACATATATATATATATATACACGTAAATACGTATGTACTTAATAATGTATACACACGCGTCGCCACTGCGAACGTGCGGAGCTCCGCGGTAACCGCAAACGTCGCCGGCGGATTTAGTGGCCGCCGAAAAGTGACCGTGGATTCGTACAGTCGAATCGATATTTCCGATGAGAACAATCGTAACGAGCGTGGGAAAAAAAAATACGGAATCGTTAATCGGTCGGTCCGTCGGCATAATAACAATAATATTAATGATTTTACATTTACGAGTAAACGTTAATGACCGAAACGGTTCGAAGACTACTCAATCCGATTGAACGATTCCGTTAAAGTTTCTAGTTTGGGGGCTTTTTATATTTTTTATTTTTGTTTACTCGATTTATTATACCCGTAGAAAAACGTTTTACACTCCGTATCGAAGCTAATCTTGACCGAGTTATCGGTATACGCTATCTGTCCCGCCGGGTTTATTTTCACACGTAATATGACCATTATCATTTACTGGCGCGCCATCTATTTTTGACCGCCATGATATTTAACACCCCCCCCTTCCTCTCCCATTCCATTCTTTCTTTGTCGAATTTTTCTAGCGAAATTTTAAGCTCAAATTTCAATCGTGAACATTTATCCCCGGCTAAATTTCTCTAGTGAATTTTCGCCGGTAAATATTCACTCGTTAAATTTTACCCGTACGGACGGAAGCGAGGGTCGAATTTCATGGGAGACTAGTTATCGTAGTAATGCAGTAAATTTTGAGGGGTGTTTTTCAAAATATATAATAAATTATTATGCGTATACTTACAAATAATACATTTAAATAAAATAAAAAATTCAATATCAACCCTATACGTATAGTAATTTATAAATATTATTATTTTATTTGAAGGAAGTTTTTTTTAAAGAAAATTAATACAGTTTAACGGGTTTTATAAAATATCAAATGTTTACTTATGCATAAATAGAATTATAGTATATTTTCGCCAATATTGTAGCGATTAAAACCATTCGATAAAATTATTACTTATTATTTATTATTTTTTTTTCCAATATTGATGTTAATAATAATTAATGTTTGCAATTTACTTGATTATTATATCTACAAGAGAAATATTTCAATTAATAATAAAATACAGTTTGATATTGGAGTAGCGAGGGGAGACCTTTATTTTTCTATAGACGTTAAATGTCAGAACCGGAAACTGTCAGAACAAAACATGTTTGTACGCCAAGTGCTGGTATTATTATTATAAGTAAACATAAAAGTATAAATAAAAACAACCTTATAAAAAAAAAAAAATAAATAACACGTGACCAGTTCAAATGGTGTTCATTATTTATTAGTTGCAAATATTGACATATATTTTGAAACCTATAACGTTAACATTCTTCGTTTGTCCGTAATTTTAGCCCATTTTGCGTGGTGCCTATTATGAATAATAATTATAAAAGAATAATGCACCTGAGCAATCGTATTAATTTTTACGTTTTTACGTACACACACATTAAAATCAGCTCTGAAAAACGATTATTTGTGCATAGCTAAGAAAAGGAAAAATATGTTAATTTGTCAATATATATCACAAAAATATCGGTGAAAACATACCTACGTTTTATAGGTAGTTTTTATAATATCTACGAGAGAATAACTCGATGTTAAAAAGTTTTACGCGTAAAATTGTAAAAAATATCAAAACTTTATCTGGCGCTCCGTTACGTATCATAACGACTTCGCAATTTTATAAATTTATTCGACAAGTATTTCGTCATTATTTAAAATACAAATGTTCAAAAATTACGAATATTGTAATTATCATATGGGAACTGAAACGTGGTCGAGGATACAATCGTAATAATAAGAAAACTACTCGTGAGCACGCGCTGCGTCACTATGTAGAGTCGGATTTCTCTGTTTCGTATCATGGAAATATTCTTTAAAAAACAAAAAATGACCGAATAAAATAACGATAAAATATTAAAATACAACTGTATACTAGGCGGGGATTAAAAGTTGAAATTCCTAAAAAAATGTACATCCTTGTACTAACGCCATGCGTGTTGCGTATACACAATTTCATCCGTCTGCCGGATTTATTTGGACGAGGAAGTCTGCAATCTAAAAAAGTCACCCTCTTTCCGCATTTCATATTGGAATTCTACGTAACTTTTATTATTTCAATTTACCCTTATACAATAAACTGTAATTCTCCAATTTGAGCTCATTTCGTTCGGAGGAAGCCACTAAACGTGTCCAAGATAAACACTACGCGTAATAGATTACAAAATACAATGCAATGGAAAAGTCTCTATTTTCGGGAAGAATGCGACGTAAAAAAACGAAAGACGGACATACTATGTACGAAAGGTGGGGCCACTGTTGTAGGTGAGAGGTTGGGTGGGTAGAATAAATAGGGGAATTTAATTTATATCTGTACGCAACGACAGACTGATTGCTAACGAAAAACGACTACGGAGCGAAATTTCTTTTTTTCGTCTGCGTACATTTTCCCGGTTTTCCCCAATTATTATGAAAACAGGTGGGAAAATTAAAAAAAAAACCATCTTTTTAAAAAGTACCACCCGGATAGATTTCAGAAAAGGCGACACGCAGCAAAATCGAAGCGATCGTTGTAAAACCAATTGGTAAATTGGCTCCGAATATTAAAAATAGCTGAAAAAGAAAATAATCAAATAAATATGTGTATTACGCGTGAAGAGTAATGTAAACGGATTATAGTGTTCTAAACTCGAAATAGCTTCGATCGGATATTTTCTTTCGTTCAAAAACGCGCGGTTTGACTGTTTGAAATTGTTTTTATTTTTCTAATATGTTTACATTCTCGGACATTGGAATTTCGGAAGAAAATTAGTACTACTTGTACGGTTAAGCGGAACGTCGAAATGTTTTAAGTGTGTGTGTGTGTGTGCGTGTGTGTGCAAACGGTGTAACGTTGTACCGCGTTTAACTATATTAATATTTAATATGTATATTTTCTACGGCCGTGGGATTTGTGTTAAACTGTTGTGCGAGCGTAATATTATACTCGTAATGTACGTAAATACGCTTTGTTTGATAAAATATTTAACGAGTAAAAAGTGAACTCGGAAACATCGTGCTTGATAATCTATATTTTAACATTTAAATTTGTTTAGGTTGTGCAGGGTCTTTATTTTTCGACGCAATCGTAATTACATGTCCGATAATAAACGGTCAGGGCGATAAATCCGACACGGACGCGTCATAATCGTCTAAGGGATTTATTTGTATTTGTCGTAGATAAAATAAGAGTTACGCAATCGTAAAATAAGTAACAATCGTATAGTAAGTAACATAAGTAGTAATAAAACAAGTACCTACTGTTTTGAATTTTCTTTTCGGTCACCGATTTACGCCGTAAAAAATTAAAACCCGTAACCTAAAATACGTCTCTGCGAATTTGGCAATATACTATTGTAAAACACAGCCGAACAAAACTACAAAATAATACGAGCAGGTGCTATACACAATACTGGCGCCACTTATGAATGTTGAACATTTTAGATTCTGAGTGGAGCGAAAAAGCGTATGGCTCCACAAAGACGTTTATTTAATTTTTTTATTCTGTAGACAACTATTCTACCAGAATTCTTACTCCGATTTGTAATGATAGAAATTTTTCAAATAGGAAATCTGACGGTGGGTGGTACTTTAGAGAGGTCATTTTTTGATTTTCTAATGGATTTTCTCAACAAATTAGAAAAACCTGGAAAAAACGGAGGAAAAACGAGAAAATGTACGAAATGTAGGTATTAGTTGAAAAAATATTACAGTGTTTTTAATTCCTGTGAACAACTTTTCTACAAGCGATAATTATGCTCCGGTACAATGATTGCACTTTTTTCTAAAAGGAAATCTGACTGGGCAGGCACTTTAAAGAAGTTAGTTTTTGATTTTCTCACTCTTTTTTCCAATAAATGAGAAAAACATGGGAAAACCGTAGTAAAAACGGGAAAATAGGTACGATATTAAACAAATGTTATTAAAGAAAATATGTAATGCCTATGTAATTATTGTACCATATAATATGCCATATATTATATTGTTAACAAAGCAACTATACTATCAACTGAACCCCGCTTAGAATCGTTTTTTTCGTATCAGCAACGGTTTATCGTTGCTTACAGATACACATTAAATTTTCCCTCTACTGCCTTCCCGACTTTTCACTTAAAACAGTGGCTCACCCACGTGCGAAGTTGCCCGGCCTTTTGATTACGGCGTTATTTGCATTGGACCGCATAACGGCAAAACGGTTCAATGCAATTCGGTATTTTACAATGTTTCACGGAAGGTATACGGGAATTTCTGTCGTTAATATTAAATTCGAATGTAAACCGTTTTCGTTGATACGCTTAGACTGTTTATAATGTCTATATATTGTATCATCACCAAAAATTATATACAGTAGAGTAATTAAACGATTTAAATCTCCATTTGTTTAGATAATATCAGGTGATTTGAAATTTTTTTTTTTCATCCAACGCCGAGTAACGTCTAAGAGACAAAAGTTAGAATATTATAATAAATCGTTTGCGTTCCCGATATCGAATAGAACGCAAAAGCGCCCGTTATAGTGAAAATACAGCAGGGTGGGGGACTATAGTTCTATAAACCATCCGCGGGGCAGGGGATACGTTGAAAAATCGGTTTTGTATTTCACGGTGCTGCAAACTCAGCTGGTGGAACTTCCATCCAATATAGACATTAACTATCTATACACAGTTAATATTATTTTTTATTCGATATTTTATGCATAATAATAGTACGGACCGAAAAGCCGGGAGGCGTCTCTTCCTATCCACTCCCCCTAGCCCCTAATGGACGCCACCGATCGAATATATTATACTCTATACCTATTGATGCATTTTACGCGAGAACACATATTTCATATTTATTTAGACTCGATGTTAATAAATTAAATTGAAATTCCGCAATAAAATTAAA